ATGTTTTATTTGTTTTATAGCATTTAGGCTTTAGAGATTATGATTTGTGACTTTTTAACATTTTCTCTTGTCATTATGTCGCTCCATAAAAATAACAGTTTCTGTATCACACCAACAAATAACACCTGTTTAATTAGTGTCTTAAAGAGCTTATCTTGTTTGTGCTCGACTCTCAGTTGCTGTTTAAAAATATTTTTAAAATATATAAAATCTAAATATAACGGTGAATATGTAGTTGGTGGCTCTTTCTGAGTAACACATACAGGATCTTGTTGCTATTAATATTCACAAGCACCCAAAAAATATGAATCCGCAGCTGAAAATATTCCCCATTGGATGCAGGATTTTCTCTTGTTTAATTATGCCTACTCACCTGCTGTTTTAGACTTTTAAAAAAAATGTAAACTATGTATTTCTGGTCTATTTTAAAAACATAGTTCTTCAGGTGAAACCCACTGAGTTCAAGTAGAGAAGGCATGAAGTATTGACAGAAACACGCTCAAGCCACATTAGACCGATGGTGAAGATTTGTTTATGAACAGCTTCTGAGCCTTTCCATTCATTCAAGACAGTTGTATGTTTATTAATTCATGTGAGACTTGCACTCTTGCATCAATTTGAGGCTGTAATATTTACTAGTTGGACATCTGAGCTATCAGAGTTCAGCTTTCCCAGTTGTAATCAGAGTTTTGCTGTCAATGATAATGGGTAAGAAATAATCACTTGGTCTTTGAATGTTATTTGCTGACATTTGTGAACAAGGGAACAACATACAACATGAGTCACAGGCCACATTTGAACCCGTCTTGATGTATGCCACAGACCCCTGGGTCAACTAGACGCTCCTTTGCTGGTTGTTTTTTTTCCATGTAAGAATACAGAGGGCAGTGTGTGTTCATTAAAATACCAAGGGAGGCCATGGAGCGAACAGTCGGTGAGGTGAATATTCAAAGCAAGCAAAATGCTGTATCTGTATCAGTGGGTGGTATCTCTCCATATGTGTTTGAAATCCCTCCCCATGTTCCTTGTCATTGGAATAAATCTTCCCCTGTGCTAAGCACCGCCTGTGGTCAAATCTAATCTGCGCTTCCAAATGGGAACCAGTCGCACCGACACAGTGAGCAGGGGGTCATTAAAAATTGAAACACAGCTAATTAAAGCCGGGGTGAAAGAATCAAAATCAAGGCTGTTGATTGGGCCTCTGCAGAAATGGACGGAGTGAAAAGTAGAAACTGACCTTGACAGGAAGAGGAGGGAGGAAAGACACATGTTAATCCACCTGAGGCTGAATTTGGCTTTTAATATGACTCTACAGATTAGCGATGGCAGTGTGACAGCCTTCAGTCAGCGCTGTGGCATAAGATTCGTCTCGAATAACAGACTTTGTGTGGAAGAAAGGTCTTGGGGGTCGCGGCTACCTGCAGAAACATTCTCTTGTTCCTACAGCAATCCGAGCACGTAGGTTAGGACAGATATGAGTATGACTTAGTGGCTGCGTCCTCTGATCCCAGCGGATCAAAAAAAAAAAATGCATTAGGATTAGACGCTTCAGTGTGAGTTGTTCTTTACAGGTTGTGACATTTCACAGCACTACGGCTATGGAGGACTTTTTCGTCCCTGCTATCACATCCTGACATTAACATGAAGTGACGTGCTTGTTAAGAGAGTAACAGCAGTCGCTTGAAATCAGTGTTACACCAGGCAGGACAGTAAATCCACACTGAAAGGAAGTGTTTTTTTAGAATGCAAAGCCTTTTTAAGGAAATGTTATTACACGAATATTATATTATAGCATTGAACGACAAAGGCTGGAATCATGAGAGAGGCAGAAGTGGTCATAACTTGGTCAGCCCTGCACTTGACCTGAGACTTTAATTCTATTCAACTGTAGGTGATCTAACACAGAAGTTCTGTTGAATTACGTACATTTGAGACAAAGTAAAGCTGATAACACTGTAACTAGTTATTGTTTTCATTCTAGTGAATGAATAGTTTGGTCTGTACAACATCAGTAAGTAATAAAAAATAAAATAAAATAAAAATCATAGTTTCTAAGAGCCTATTAATTGTACTATAATTTAAGACGAGGAAAGTTGACAGATTCTCCCATCTGGGAGCCTGTTAAGTATCAAATGTTTGCCGTGTTTGCTCGCACAGTGACCTAAATGATTAATTGGTTATCAAACTGTGCTGATTAATTTTCTGTTTGACTAATCAATTAATTGACTACTCTAATAGCTAAAATCCAATAAGCAGCATGAAATAACAGCCATGGGAAACTAATTTTAAAGATGTAATATTTTTCTGGGGATCTTTCTGTTGCTGCAAAATCAATGCTGATTTGAAATGTATTTTGTAAGTACAGCTTTAAAACGCGAAACTGGTGTACACCGATGACCTGATTTGCTTTGGCTGATGAGACGTTGCTCTAATATAGGCTTGTTTGGATTACCTGTATCATTCTTATTATTACAAAGAGTCTAATCATTTGTTTCTCTGTCCTAATTAGACTTTTTTCTCATTATTGATTAATCTGACCTTTGTTTTCTCGACTAATCAATTTATTGTTTAGTCTGTAGAACATCAAAAAATAGACACGACAACTTCCTAAAGCCCAAAATCTGTCTTCAGATAATCCAGAACCAGAATTTGACTTACAAACAAGCAGCCTTACATGTAAGACCCTAGAGCCAGCAAATATTTGGTATTTTTGCTGGAACACTGCGTCAAACTATTATTAAGTAGTTGCCAATAAATCTTTTTTGGACAGAGTTATCGACTGACTAATTGCAGTTCTAGTCTTAATTGCAATTCAAATGTCGACATAATGTAATTTACCATTTAAAGACTCACATTACAACAAGTCTGATGTTATATGAATGCAGCAAAATCAGGCTCAGTAACTGAAAACACCAGTGTGTGTGTGTGTGTGTGTGT